GTGATGAACTGACACAGGATACACAGCTTCCTGCTCTGTGAATTATATATTTCTAAAGTCCTAGGAGATTTTTAAGGTAAAAATGTATCACTCTTCCTGTAGGGAATTGTCATGTGCTCATTAATTAGGGTGAACATTGAACCTCTAGTTTGATTTTTTTTAGTAAGGCTCAACAGGAAAAAAATGCTAATAAATATAATATTTCAAACCCAGAGTGCAACCCACCAGGCATAGAGGTGGAACATTAGCACAGTGAAAATTGATTTAATCCCATTAGTTATAATCCTGTGGGCACTTGGCAAGTTATAAGAGGTGAGGAGGAAAACAACATTTAAGTTAAAATGTACATATAAGTGTATTCTGTAATCTGCCATGTGGGATAACAGCTCTTCCACATGGATGATAAATATAGTACGTAAACAAATGATTTTTATAAACTGGCTTTACACTGATGTTTGAGTTACCCAAGTTTATTTCTAAATAATAACCATGACTAATACCATTTTTCAGTGAAAGGGAGGGATTCAATTCAACACATACTTATTGAATAGCTACTTTGTGCCAAGCATTAGCCGAGTGCCATAGGGGAAGCTAAAGTACATGCATCATAGTCCCTACCCTCAAAAAATGTATAATCCAGTAGAGGAGACAGTCTTTTTAGGTCACCATGCAAGATGAAGAGTTTGGTGCCTTTAATATATGGGGTATGACTTAGATGTTCATCCTCATCATATGGCTTATTTCTTAATTTTCGTGGAGCTTGGGTGGTTTTATCTTTTGTTTTTGTCTGAGAAGCAAAACTGCAACTTTCTATTAATGTTTTATCTATTCTTCTTTTTCTTTTTTTTTGTTTTGAGACAGGGTCTTGCTATATTGTCCAGGCTGGTCTTGAACTCCTGGGCTCAAGCAATCCTCTCACCTCAGCCTCCCAAGTAGCTGGGATTACAGGCGCATGCTGTTTTTTCCATCAATGTCTTGCTACAAGGAAGTTTTTTTCCTCTGCTGTAGGGAACCAGTGAACCACTGGAGTCATGGCTTGCGCCTTACAAGCATTTATGCTATTGCACATAGTGACCCATTTTTCACAGCCATGGTACCTTCTGATATTTCAGGGTCTTCTCTCAATCATTTCTATTTTTCCTCATTAGCAACAGAGTTGCAAGCATTTGTTAAATTTGCAAGCACTGACTTAAGTTGGTTCCTCAGTAGATGAAATGTGTTTTGATCATTCACATTTTTGTCCTCTGTTCTGGTTAAAATTCATGATTTAGTCTTATCAAAATAGAAGTTACATACCCACTTTGAATCTGTGTCAATATTGCTAAAAAGAGTGAATGTTTTTATGTTCTTCTTATGCATAAAATGATGGAAGTTTGTAATTTGTGTGTGTGTGTATGTATGTATGTATTTTTAAAATCACTTTTTGAGGAGAATAACCATTCAAAAAGGTCAGTGCTGTAAAACTTTCTTTAATTAAACTGTCAAGTAATTTAAAGCAGATTCATCGATAACTGATACCCTTACACACTCTATTATTTTATTGTTTCTTGTGGTGTATTAATCACATAAGCTTACACTCTAGAAGGAAAAAAAGTCCCATGGATGTGGCATTCCAGGTTTGATTGCAACATCACCTGAAATGCCTGCATTAAGATCGACTTTAAAAAGCAATTATGAAACAGAGAGAAGCAGTTCAGCTTTAACAACAGCAGTGCTACTGGGTGTCGTTGTGGCAAAAGTGCTTTATCATTATAAGGCGTTTCATTTTTCTCTATAGTTGTCAGACTCTTTGATTGAAGAAAAAGTTCTCCATTCGACTTGATTAAGTTACTTGTTTCGTCGCCCAAGACAAGACGTTTTGTTTGTCTGTGGGGGATGATCAGATAAATAAAATATATTCATTGCCATCACCACATACATGCTGATGTAGAGTGGTTTTGGTGACCAGAGGATATATGTGAAACACTTCCAAAATGATCCATTTTTTAAATAACACAATCCCTTTTCCAGTGCGTTATTAACAAACTCGCATGTGCTGCTCCAGCTCATTTGACGATGGGAGCAAGGTGCTTGCTTTGGAAGGACACACAAATTGGAAGACAGCCTTATGATGATAATGTGCTTTTCTTCCTTTTTTGCCCTTCAGCATTCATCATCATATGACTAGCTAACATCATTATTAATCCCTTCTTATCATTTTACAAGCTTCTGGAAGAAAGTGCATGGTGTCAGCTTGCTTGAAAATAACATTGCTTTGCTTGTTCTACTACTCTGCATTAGGGGAGAATTTCGATCGCCAGGCCAGCCTTCGGCGGTCTCTAATTTACACAGACACTCTGGTAAGACGACCGAAGAAAGTCAAAAGGAGAAAGACTATTACAGGAGTCCCTGACAACATTCAGAAGGAGCTAGGTATGGCTCATCAGAACTGTGTTCTCTTGCCCCTGAGTGCTGCTCAGCATTACTACGCTAACCTCATTCGTGATGCTTGTACAATCGATGCATTCTGATAGCAGCTGGTGCCCCAAAGGGCCAGCTTCTTTCCTGAATGGGGCATTAGGTACAAATATTAACATCCCATGTAGACACGGTTTACTGGATTTGGGGGAGAGAAGGTACAGGGAGAAGAGCTTGTATGAAAACTATTAACTAGGATGATAGAAATCAATCCTTACATCATCATCTCTATGTACCTTGAACATGGGTTATTTCTGCAATTAAATTTACTTTTCATTTAGATCTTAAGTTTTCGTGAAACTGAAAACTCATTCTAGGACTTCAAATGATGAATATGGACTTCACTGGTTACCCTGACAATACTGGTGGTATTTTGTCATCAGAAACAGCAGACCGGGATTGTTAGTAAATGTCAATATGATAGAAAATAGTCATTTACGTTGGATAATGCCTTCATTCCTTTCAATGAAACCGTTTCATAGCTTTCTTTATTTATATTTTCAACCTGTGATAAAAACAGGAAATAGAAAAAAATTTTGGCCGATGGAAAGGGTTGTTTAGTTCATTATTCGCCTATCCATTTTGTTTCTGCTCTTCTTTATATGTGTGGGGTAATCCTTTCGTTTTCCTCTTTCTATATTAACTTCCTCTCCCTGTTTTTTATGGGGCCCAGCAGGAATGTCTGCAGAGCAGCATAGCCTAGCTCCTGGGTCAGGAGTAGCACTGGTGCCAGGCTGCTTGGAGTTGCACCCTAACCCTGCCACTCACCCTGGGTGACCTTGGTTACTTCACCTCTCTGAGTCGACTTCCTCACTCGACAAATGGGGGGTTGGTGATATTAGTAGAACCTACTTCATAGGATTGTTTAAGAACTAAATCAATTTATACAAGTGAAGCATTTAGTATTTGCCAGTACTATAATCGTATTAATAATATTAATAGCTTCTGTGGTCGTTATTATAGGGAACTTATTACCACCTATGTTGAAATTTGCCTCTTCCTCCTTGGCCATCCTATGGACTTATTTCCTAATAGTTACTTTCAGCTGATATTTTTATTTACCTTTATTTACTATCAAAGGTTATACTTTAGAAACTCAGCGTCATTACTTCTGAAATTGCCTATTAGTCTTTTAGTAAAAATGAGTTTATCTTAGCAATAGTAATATATCTGTTACAGCACCTGGAGATAGTATTTCAGCTTCTGAGTGCTACAGACATTGGACTTATGTACTTTTCTCCCCAACAGCCCTGCTTGAATGCCTTGTATTAGGGAGGGCAGACTCACTCTTCTTTCCCTGGCATTTTCTCTTTTACTGCCATCCAATCCTACAGTATATGTGCTCTGCCTTCTAGACTGTAGCAGCCACTGGACAAGAGGAGCAGGGCTCTGCCTCTGCTCTGGGTAGCTCCAATGACCTGGGTGGTATACAGGTGCTTGTCTCATTGCATAACGGAAGGGTTCATTAGAAGCAAAGGCAAGATTGCAACTGCCCTGTGGGATTTGTGGTCTGTCTGGTTCATGGCCCACACACATACTGCTGCTTTTCATGGGCCGGTTCTCCAGTTACTACCCCAGGCCTCCAGGCACCATCCCTCAACCTACATCTTACTGACACACAGTGCTTTCTCCCTCTCCTCTCTACTTGTCTGTGTCTTATTCTTTCAGACTCTTTCTTTTTTAATTCTTGAGGTGACAGCTACCTAATTTAAGAAATTATCTGTACTCACATGTTC